ACGCGCAGCTCGCACGTGCACGTGAGATCCGTAGACGCGTCGTGCGCGAAACGCGACACCCGGCAACACGAGAATCCACGTGCGAACGAACGAGAAAACGCGCTGCTGACCCTCGCCCGTACGCGTACGCGTGTGAAACGACGCGTACGTGTACACATGTGAATATATATATATATAATATGTATTATATATGGTATATACCGGAATCTACCGCGGAGGTCTCCGTTTGTTCGCGGCGACTACAATCCGTATCCGTAACGCCGCGAGGGTTTCCACGGTTCGTGTAATGCGCGTAGACAAAAGTGCGCGACTCGCCTAGTTTTTAGATTTGAAGCTTCGAAAAATTCCCACGTATCGCCGCACTCTATCTTATCGCTGAGCTAACAATAAGCACAAATTTCTAAAAATAGGATGTGAAATAAGATAACGCGGCGAGACAGATACGGTGTTAATGGGTAGAAGGTGTCTTTTCAACAGAACCGTAACCCCGACTGTAAACAGAAATAAAAGTTCCAGATGCGCAACGTTAGTCCTCGCGCATGGACCGGACCCCGCGTAGCGAGCTCTCGCGACCCTCGTCGCTCGTCGAATTTCGCGGAAGCGTGTGTGTGTCTCTCTGCGAGTTTTACCACGGTATTGACTACCGATCGTCGCGAATGGGTTACCAGACACCCCCGAACGACCACCGAACGAATGATAATGGTTATCGTTGCGTTCTCAGTAACGGGGAGGATCAACTTCGCCCCGTCCTCGCGGCTTGCGACGACGCGGCAGAAATCGGCCGGTGATCGATCACTCTTCTCACACTCGGCTGTAACTGGTCGATTTCTTGCCGCCGCCGTCCACTGTGGGCTCCAGCCTGAAGTCTCCTCGCGTCCTCGCGGATGACAATTGAGACGCGGCCGGTCGATCGCGCGCTCGCACGTGGCCCGGACGTGTCAAACGTGCGCGGGGGGCGGCCGGTGGACGAGACCGTCCGATCTTCGGCGTCCACCGAGGACTCAATTTTTCCGCGGGATTATTCATAGCGCATTACCGCTACCGCGTTACTACTGCACCGGCACGGAATTACCGAGCCGCACGCATACGCCATTATGCACGGCAACTTGTTCAACGACGCCCACTTGTTCAAAGCCGCCAGCCCCCTTTTGTCGACGTACAAATGCGCCGTAATTAGAAAAGTGTACGTGTAAGCGGCGTGTTCGTTGACACTGCCGCGGCCTCCGCTCCCCCCGTCTTGCTCTCCCTTTTCCGCCCCCCCCCCCTCACCCCCTCGGCGCTGCGTGGAAGAACGCGGCTACATTCAATATTTTATGCATCACGCTACGCGAAGCGTTGCGCGCCGCTGCCTTCTCTCCGTTTTCTTTTTCTTCTCCTTCTTCTTCTCCTTCGCCGTTATTATTCGTGTCAACCATCTGTGTAAGCACGGCCGCCGCGCGTCAGCCACGATCGGCTATACTCAGTGGATGAACTCTCATTCGCGATCGATCGACTCTCCAATTCCCCCGGTGTCTTCTTTACCTCGCGCGTCTCTGCACGCGACAGTCTTTCTTCTTGCTCGATGCCCGGGCGATAAAATCTTCACCGCCGGGCAAAAACCTGTGTCGGAGCCCGATTAAAAATAGGAAACCGAGCGGGATACGAATTGTGCCCTGCCCTTGCCCCCCCCCCTCCCCTTGCCCAGGCAAATATTGCTAATGAACGAAAGTCTCTAACGAAGACGTTCTATGACGGATTCAGTTTCGACAACGGGTTAACGGAGTTACAGTGCAAAATTGTATTCAGATTTTGTCGAAATGAACGAATGTTTAACACGAGTTTCGCCAATTCACCGAAGTTACTGTTTGCTATTCGTTATTTATATGTACATATGTGCATACAGTTGTTGCCTGAAAACCGCCTGGCGAAGTACGTGCAACGAGAATGCGATTTGGAAGATACATGGCTGCCTCAACTTGAACGCAGTCGAGCGTCACTAGGCACAGTAATAAGATCGTAAAAAAAATAAAATAAAAGACTCGCGACGCGATGTCTCTCGAGCGAAAGCTCTTGCGAATTAAAAATTTGCGTACCACCGCCGCAGGGCTAAGCTGATTTTTCGGAGAATCGGTTGCGCCGTTAAAATGCAACAGGTTTTCGAGACGGGACGGACCCGAGTTCCCGATCTTACAGAACATTCCATCGAGTCGATCAAGGCCTCGCCCCTTTTCGCACGGTCGGACGGAGAGTCGCGTTTGACTTCTTACCCCGCGCGCATTTTTACATCCGTTCGTTTCTATAACGCCGCTATTGTTCGTAGAAACACGAGTGACGATACTGAACAGACGAATCTTACCTCGAATCCCCGCTCGCGACGAACATCCCCCTCGGACACGAAGACATCGATTCGTTTTTTCGCGCATTTTCTTACGAACATAATTCATGAAAAATTCCACGGTAATCTCGTTACATTAAGCGGATATTACTTTAATGAACGCCTTTACCGCCTGGTAAAGAGCTGCGTTTGCAAAATATTCATTAGCTGCTTAGATTACCATCGCATAATCAAATGCAGTGGCATAAATTAAGGTAGGAGATAAATGCATCGCGCGCTCATGTCAATGGTTTCTCTAACGCGCGGCCCGCTCGTTCCCCACCCCACGGGTTTATGGTAGCTCGCAGTCCCGGTTGTTAGACCCGTTTATCTGTCACTGCGCCAGTCCCCAACCGTCATTCCCATCGTCAGCGAATCATAAAATTTCACCGGCCAGATATACGATACAATTCTACGTCGCGCCCGTATACTATACGACGCAATCAAAGCGAGTATAATGAAAAGCGGTGCAGTATCCTCGTAAACAGATAATAAGACGCCGACTACCAGGGCTGGGGATATCCTTGAGAATTGAAAATACTTATCTGACGAATTTCAATCGACAATTTACGCGTGGGAAGAGACGGCGAGCGGCCGATAGTGCTCCGCAGCCACCACGCTCCGCGACCTATGATATTCTATTGTATTTTAATGCATTTAATACTCGCGCTGCTCCTTATTCCGCCGTATTATCTTATCCGGCGCACGTCTGCTCCTTTCGTAATTATTTATTAGTCCTATCGTGTAATCGGTGTACGCTGTTACAATAAAGATGGCAGACAAAGATAACAATAATCAGATAAAGATAACAATAATCATTTTAATATTATAAATGCTCCCGCAACTCCCCCCCCCTTTCGCCCGTCCGTCTTTGATTTGATTAAAATACATTCCCCTGCCCTGCTCTATAATTGTAACTCTGATATTTTTGCCTCCCCGCGGAGGATCGCCCGATTATTAAATATTCTAACGATGTGTTCCCGCGATCTCTGAAAAATCTCATTTATCAGCAGAGAAACGGCGGAGATCGCGGGGGCATGAATTTTTCCTAGCTCGATAATTGCGAAATAAAAACAAAGTCGCAAGACGCGCGATCGTTTTACAGCTGTCCGCAACAAATTTCATTTCTCTGCGAATTTCGTCGGTTGTATTACCTCTTTCGCTGTTTCACCTGTTTACGGATTTAACATCTTTACGACGGCGCGTGATTACGCGGCATTGCTGTATTCGAAATGTCGATTATACGACGCATAGCTTCCCACGATTTTTTCCCCCCGCGCGCGCGCGGCTCGACACAATTCGCCGTTCAGCAGTTCCGCATAATTCCCTTCACCCCCGTCGATTAAAAATTTCTCCCCTATCTCCGGCGGATCAACCGGCGTCACGCGACATCCTATCTCTCCCTAGGCATCGGGCAGGAAGGAAAAAAATCGAATCGCGCGCCGCCGAGCCCGATCGATGCGCACAGCTGGTTTCCTGCCGCACACGCGTGCCGCGCCGTCACGCACGTGCGTGTGCTGACGCGACCCCGTGTGCGTGAGGGGCCCCGGTGCTGCCCCGCTGCGTGCGTGCATCGCCGCCGCGTCAACGCGCGTACGCGTAGCGTGCCACCGCGAGAACGCACGTGTGTAGGTCCGTCCGCCGCGTCTCCCCTCCTAGCCCCGCCGGCCGCCCGTTCGCCCCGCTCCGGCGAAATCGGCGCGCGATTGGCCGTTGCGGAGGTTCCCCCGCGCCCCGACCCGCCGCCGGCCCACGGACGACCCATTCCATTCAGTCACCCGTACGGATTCGAATGTAACTACGATGCCGCACGCTGTCCTCCCTCCCCTCGCTCTCCTTTTCGCTCACTCTCTCTCTCTCTCTCTCGCGACAACAACGCGCTCAGCTCGCTCTCCTCCCGCCCGTAGCACGCACGCGGGAGCGGCGTGCGTCGCGGAAACGTTCGCACAGGTTTCCAACCTGACCTACGCGAGCGAAGCATGGCCAGGGGCGAGATATCCCGACGCAATGTCATCTGATGCTGGCGAGAGGCAGAGCGAAAGGTAGGCACAGGCAGACGCGGGAAGGGAAGGACGCGGGCCTCTTCCTTCGCCCTATCTTTCTCCGGCGAGCCGGAGGGATGTTTGTCGAAGGCCCTGAACGACCATCATCGGTCACCTTTTCGTCCTAAACGGCCGTCGGCGATCGCTCCCGGCGGCCTCTAATCGTCCGATTCGTTACGACGGGAATGCAGATTCGCGTATCGGGGACAATAACCTTGACTAGGTTCCTCGCGGAATCCTTCAATTCCGAGTATCACTCGCTAGAGTTGCTCGATCGCGCCTGTGGAGGCCGTACCGATTTTGTACTCTTCGCGCTTGAAAAGCGTACAAATAGTAATTGTAAAAATACATAACGGACGAGGATCAAAAGACGTCTGTACGCGTTTGAAGCCTCGTTGACAACGGAAAGCGAATTTGCAATTGTCATTGAAAATATGTATAAATTATCTCTATACAGAGCTTCCTCTCTACGGTTTATTTTACAAGTATAACGGACGCGGTCGGAAATATTCCAAACACATTCCCGTTTCGAAGATGTAAGTGATACCGGGAATTTGGGGTTTACAGCGGACGGCGGGGAAAGAAACACGATGACATATGGTTACCTATGCTGTTCCTCGAACTGCTGGAAACCGGCTCGAGCTGCTGAGGGACTTGGTGAACGACGTATCAGACGGCGGCTCGTTTCCGGATAACTCACCAACGCCGATTAGTCTCGTGATTCATGCACGCGAATCACTTTTCTTGTCTTACAAAACTGCACTGCCGCGTACATCTGTGCGGATCACTGAACGAGTCTTTCCGCTCCGATTTGAGAATGCATTCGACGAACACGCCGGACGCGGGGCCGAGGGGCAGAGTGGCGTTTGTTAAGAGTTTCTGTAATGCGTAATTACAGGCGATTGTGATAAAACAATTAGGGAATTAAAAGCGTCGCTTATATATACACGCGAGATGTGGCGAGAGCGATTAGTAGCGGTGTGACAAAGGGCGTAGCAGAGTTATCAAAGACTAGAAAAAGGGTCTAGCAGATGGCGTGTGATTTCTACCCCCCCGAGTTTTACAATTTTACCATCCCAATTACAAACAGTGGATGTGATAGGCGTTATCGAGGGCTCGTGGATATCTAATCGTATTTTCACCGGTCGACTGTTAGATTAAGACGAATAGAAGGTAAATCGTCCATATTCTTGGAATCGCTCGAGATCTGAAGCGCGGATAAGTCTACGAAAGAGCTTCGTTAGTCCAACAGACCAATGTGGGAAATATTTCGAGACCGACGAGTGTTTTACTCTTATAATTATCTGCGGGCAATTGTTACGTTCCCGGGTTGGAATTCTGGGACTATTTTGACACTTCTGGGGGTAATTTACACCTACACAGACCGGCGATAACCTACTTTGAGATGACATTAAATTTTTTTACTCCTCCCTTGAATCTTTAATTCTACAAATTTACTTTAGCCCCTACTTAAAAGGACCTACTTTAATGCTAAATTGGCAAAAGTAGAAGTTTCCGACACTATCAGCTTTAAAGTAGGAGTAAATTTCGTACTTGGAGTTCGAGCTCTTTTACTGTCCTAGGTCCTACTATATAACAGAATTAAAGGTTCAACATAGGGCCAGAATTTCGACTCTGGTTACGTTTGCCTCGCGATTAAGTTGCTTTCGCGTGTCGCTAAAAAAAAGAAACGCTCCATCGTCCCGGACGTTTCCAAGCATCGCGGCGCGAGAACGTTACTCCGTCACTTGTCGCGAATGAAGGAGCAACAACGGCCGTTTTCCACGTTTCGCGGTCGGTTGCGCGATACGTTAAAATAGCCGACTATAGTCTCTCGAGGCTCGAAGAAGCTCCGGTTGCCCTCGCATAGATGCGCGCGAACGCACGTCTCTCCCTTCCCTCTCCCTCCCACTCCGTCGTCCTCTCGCTCTTGCACTCTATCGTTCTATCTCGTCTCTCCCGTACCCTTTTGTCCCGAGAAGAAACGCGGGTCGAGGAGCTTGTGCCCTCGCCGCCGCCGCCGTCGCCGCCGCTAGGTACGCGAGCGTGGAATTCGCGATTCTATCGCGGCACTCAACGCTGTACAGGCCGCCTCAAAGTCGGCGGTCATTTCCTCCGTCGCATGAATCTGACAGATCCTAACGGAACGACGTAGGACAAGTTGATTATTGGGGAAGTAATTTCGAACTTCACAAAGAGAATTTTCTCCGTTTGTCGTCGCGACTTCGCATTGAACGATAAATTCAACTTTTACGAGAGATAGACTTTTGCACGCGAAGACGTAAGGTTCTACGTAACGCAGGCTGTAATCGTTAACCTTTAGAGGGCCGGAGTGGCCGCTACAGTGGCCGGGAGCAAACTTGAAAACTTTGCGGAACGTGTAGATTGCACGTATGGATAAATTTTCTGTTTAAAAAAATCACAAACTTCAATGGAAAAATGCCGGCCCTCTGCAGATTAACGCGACGCGATTTCGTGTACGATCGGAAAGGGGTCCGAAGGGACGCGCGATAACTGTGGGGCGATCCTGTACGTTGTAACGACGCCCGCCCGAGGCCACCGCGCGTCTTTACATCGGCGCGGCCCCCGATCTCATCTTCGAGATCGATCGATATTGACGAGCGGCGCGCACGAAACTTTCACCGCGGCGAGGCTTCCTCGGTGCGAAAAGCGAAACGGAAGCGCAACGGGGAACACGACGGGCTCGTAGGGGGACCGTTGGGGAGGACGAGAGGCGTCGCGTAACTCGAGGGCGCGGGCGCGGGCGGCCGCTAATAATGCCCCCTATTCATCTCCCCGTTCGCCGTTGCGTATCTCCTCGCTGAACTTAAAGGCCCCCGGCTCGCGGATACGCGAGATAGGTCCACGCTGGTAGGAGGAGAGGAGACATCTGGCAGCGGCGGAGTTTTTCCGACAAGGCGGAGAGTAAGCGCGACGCGCTCCACGCATCGCCCTCGTCACACTTTCGAAAACGGCACGCGTGTGCGCACGCATGCACGCATCAGCGGCGCGGCAACGGGAGGCGAGAGGGACAATTCGAAGACGGGGAGTAGAAAGGGACGAGGTTTTTTTTTATTGTGTTCTGGAAAGAACTTGCCATAACAGGAAGTAATATGCAATAAAAATAAAACGCGCACGATAAGATAAGGGTATCGAGACCAAGTATGCATCGGCGTACGAGACCAAGAAAAATGTAATAAGAGATAAAGAGAAAGAGTTAGAGAGAGAGAGAGAGAGAGAGAGAGAGAGAGAGAGAGAGAGAGAGAGAGAGAGAGAGAGAGAGAGAGAAAGCGAATTTATTTTTATGCCCCGGGATCAATCCCCACTGGACGATAGCAATAATCATTATATGAAACTGATAAGTCCGTCCAATAACAAAACCCTATAGTAGCGCCGGAGGAAAGACAAAACTAAGCGGCACAGGCCCCGGCATTACGGCATTTGAGGACACTCGGCGAGGCGAACAAAGACGAGAGACCGCGAGACGGGAAGGAGACCGGAGGCGGAAAAAAAAGGGAAAGGAATGAAAAAGGAAGAGGAAGAACGAAAGTCGGCGCGGACAGGAACGAGAGATGCGAGGCGATCGCGAGCAAAGGGCACGTGTAATTGGACAACGAAGGGCACCTCTCTCCTCGTCGGCAACGCGCCCTCCCGCGAGACGCGCGGCGGGGTGCGGCGGGGGGAGGGGGGAGGCACGGCACGGCGTGGCGTGGCGCGGACACTGTGCGGGGCGACGAACGGGAAACGCGGCGCGACGCGACGCGACGCGAAGTAGCGTTTGTATGTACCTCTCCTCCGTGTAACGCGTCTGCGGGCTCTCGCTCCGTCACGCGGCGCGGCCACGGAGCGTGAGAGAGTCACGGGGTACGCGTAGAGCCTAGGCACGATACTGAGGACCTCCGAGCCGCGGCGGCACCGCGCTTTCCTCAAGAGGCGGAGAGGCGCGGGAGAAGGTACGACGGCGGAGAGGGGATCAGTTGGGCGGGGGGGGGGGGGCAGGCGGACGAAAGGGTGGCAGGGGGGCAGGAGGGTGTAGGATAGAGGCAGGGGTAGAGAATTCTCTCTGTTATAGATTAAAATTTTTTACGGGGAAGATATTGATTGTTGCTTTTTATTAATGTAACATTAAAGTGGTGCCTGCGGCGGTGGGGGCGATCGCGCCCCGCTGTGCGCGCCCGCCGCGTGGTGGGGCCCCCCTTCCGACCGGAGTGGTGCGACCGGGTGGGGATGACGAAAGAGGACATGGAGGGGCGGAAAGGGGGTACGGAGGAGCGCAACGGCGAGCCGAGGAGAGGAAGTAAGAACCGACGTGCGTTTCGCGAAACGACGCGGCGGTAGGGGAACGTAGAGAAGAAGATCTGGGCGGGGGGTGAGGAGGAGGAGGAGGCGGGAGCGAGCGGGGGGTTGGCGGGGGAAGGAAAAGGGGCACGGGAGAGCGATTCGCGAGGCGCGTCGGCGGTGGAAGGGACGGGCGGAAGGGCTCGAAGCGGCGGAAATAGTGCCATAAATACCAACATTTTTCGTAACGTCTTGCAGCCCTGTTTTGACAATCGTCCCCACCACCGCGCACCCGCGTACCCTCCTCTCCGTCATGCGATTCCTACCAAGCGGCCCCCATGGAACCCCTCTCGCTTCCACCTCGGCCTACCCGCTCGCGCTCGCCCCCTTTGCCCCGCATCCCTCGGATCTTAAATACGTAGATACACTTACACACGCGCGACCGAACGAGCGGTCCCCCACGCGTACACAAAAAGGGGCGACGTCTCGCACCCTCTTCGCCTCACCTACCAAGTACCGCGCGCGGACGCGCGATTCCCCTTTTCTCTTCCCCCCTCGCCGCTGCCGCCTCCTCCTCATCCCATTCGTACTCTCGGCCTATTCTTCTACTCGCTTTGACATTTTTCGCGAGTTAAGGCCCGCACGAACTTGGCGGAAATCCATCTTGCGCTGACTCCGCCGCGCCCCTCCCTCTCGTACTTACTTTCCTCCTCACCCCTACCCCCGCCCCTGCCGAGCACTTTTCCGTCGTCTCTTTTTTTTTCCTTCGATTCTTTGCGTCTCGGCTTTTTTACCACGGAGGAGGGGCAGAGAGGTCGTCGCGGGACAGATCGATGCTTCCTTTCGAGACAGCGACGACGAGCGGAGAGAAGACAGAGGGCGAAGCCCCCTGGCCCCTCGCCGCCCGGCCGGGCGGGCCCGGCGTCTTAATTGCCGATTTACCGCGCAGCGACGCGTTTGTAACGTCGTTGTAACGCGTCATCGCGTGTCGCGCGCGCGTACACACGATGGACTGTAATTGAGAGTCGCGGAGAGATTGCGAAAGGGAAAATGATTAATGGCGTCACACGCGGCGTGATCGGATCAGAGGTGAGATTAATCGAGGGAAAACGCTAATACGAGTTCATCGCTCGCTCGATTACGTGTGTAACCGTGTGTACGCGTTAATGTACGCCAATCTTCATAATCCCGGGCCGCTGTCGCGCCGTCGGTGCATTCCCTGGTCTTTATGGGCGCAATTCCGAGCCGTTAAAACCATTCGAGTTACAGCCATCGAACAACGCGGCCTCTCGCTGCTCCGCTTCGCTCTGCTCCGCTCCGCGCCACGACGCCACGAGGGACTTTGTTTTATCGCGTTTGCGTAACAGGGCCCCGTAGGATTCTCTTTTTGTCGAGAAAGGCGAGGCGACAAGCGCGCGCGATTAACGCGCTCTCGTTCTCCAACATTATTTCAAGTCGAAAAGAACGTGCATTTGACTTTTTGCTCGCTACGTCCAACGGCAGTGTCTCACGTCCATATAATAATAACAACGCGAGAAACGGGTCTGTTGACTCTGGGATTTCCTAAAGGGCACCACGGGCGCGCGCTCTCTCGGATGGAAACCATTCTTTCCAAATAGTGCCCAGAAAATATTGACTTCTTAAACACCCACCGCTGCACCGTTTAAAGCCGTCTTCTAGGAAAAAATCGCTAAACGCGCCATCAAATTTTATTTCTCTCTTCGGCGCGTCGCGCATAAAGGATTAACGACAGGAAATTCGAAGAATACGGACGGATCCAGGCTTATCGTTTTACCGCATACGAAGGAAACGTTATTTTCTAAAGGGGAACGTCGCGCGTGCCTCGCCGAGTTTGCCATCCATTGCTATGTAAAGAGGAGGACTCGCGAAAATGTCCGCTGCACTCTCTCTCTCGTTAAAGGGGCAAGCCGTATTACATCCGTCGTACCGGCGATTCTTCAGCGGAAGCTCGAGAACAAGAGCCGGAGGAAGCCACTCCGAGGACCGCCGGATTGTATTTCGGCGCCGCTATTTGTTCGGCACTCGCCACGAGGTCGAAGCCTCACGCGGAAAGGAAGATCGAGGGAGACCCGACCG